CACGCCACAACAGTCCTTTCTGAAAGTCTTCTATTAGACCATCGCGGCTCTACGCTGGGAACATAGACGCCACCGTCAGTGTACTGGTGGGCCCCGCAATGCGAAAGGTACAGAAACTCTTGCTGGACTGCCCAGCATATGTATTGACGGGTTAGCTCCACCTGAGCAAAGGCAACAAGACTTCTCAAAAAATATCGCAAGTCATCATCTGAGCCATGGACTCCAAAAGGACTGTGGAGCGCAGCCGCAACTCCTTTCTTGAGATCGGTTACTCTTCTTGGGAAACAGTCAGAAACCAGCCAGGTAACCCGTGCGTAGTGCACGATACTCCCTACATGACAAAACCTCAATGATCAAGACTACATGTCCTACCTAGGAGTCACGACAGGGTTGGGCCTCTTAACAACTAGAAGCCCATCAGGTGCTGACAGCAACAAGAGCCCTACTGCAACTAACACTCCGGGATCCTCATGGAACAAATGGCGAAGCTGCCTGCCATGGATGCATATGTTCCGCTTAGCAGCTCAAGCCCATCCACCGTCCGAACACACGTCCGCTCCTGTTGATGTCTTAGTAAGGCATGATGCGTGAATCTGAGGACAAACTTCTTTTTGATCCATGCTGGGCGCAGACTTCTGGCTGCTGTGCCAAGCTGAGAGGTACATGGTGTCTGCCGCTGCCAGGCCGCCCTGCAGTGCCAGGATCGCGTCCTCATTTCGAAGTTGCTGCGGTTGAGAGGATGAGGTCAAGAAGTGCAGCTGGAGCTCATAGCCGCGTGCTCGGAGAAACCGAGCGACGGCAGCAGGGTCATAAGTCTCATCTTCTTCGCGGTAGGGCCACATGGCAAGAGCAACTGCCTTGACCAATTCAGGGTGCAGGCGATCTTTGAGGGACTTCAGCACGGCCTCCTCGTGACCATCCACATGCACGCGAAGCAGGTCCAAGGTATCGAAGTCACCCCACACCGAACAAAGAATCTCCTCCAAACTCGTTACGTTGCAGTGCTGAGCATGGTCCGCTGGATCCTTGGGTTTAAAATTCCATGCTGGGTTCCTCATGTGCTCCTGTGCGTACAACTGGCATGTACCGGTTCTATCCGACACGAAGGCCTGGCGCACTACCAGTCGATCGGCAAGGTTGTTCCAGGCCGCGGTTTGTTGTATGGCCGAAGCCGCCTCCGTGTACGGTTCTACGGCCACTGCCACAGAATCATGGAGAGATGTCAAGACCTGGAAAGTGCAGCTGCCCAAAGAAGCGCCCACCTCAACAAATCGGAAATTAGATCCACTGGGCCTTTGCTTGCCCAGTCTATCTTGCAACAAGTCTTGAAACGCTTTGTCGCAGTGGAATCTACCGGAGCCTCTCACCACATTGGCCTCAGTGAATGGTGTGGGAAGCAGCCGAATCCAGAAAGGCTTAGTGCTCAGGGGTGTCTTCACCAGCGACCAGAGGCGGCAATCCAGACGGTCCAGCAGAGAGAAGAAGAGGTGCGCGCCTTTGAACATGAAATTCTGCAGCAGCCTTGTCTTCTTAGCAATGCAGGCCAGGTTATTCTGGGCAGATGCCAGCAGCTTGTGGATCTCTGAGCCAAGTGGATCATGCCAGGCAGGGTTAGCCTGAAACCGAAGTCTGTCGGCCTGCAGCAAGTCCAGCAAGACTCTCGGAAGGGTGCAAGGATCACCCTGAGAAATGCTTACTTGCAGTGGCATCTTGGACTCAAGCTGTGAAGCAAGTCCCCTCCACCAGCTGCGCTCTTCTTGGGGTACTCGATACAACTTGAAGTCCCCGGGCAATACGAAAGAGGCCTTCCGCACTGCCTCCACGAAGGTGGCTGCGTGGAAGAAAGGTGCCGAAGACTGTGAAGCTGGCTTGAGATTTTGGACAAGGCTGACAGCAAGGCTTCGGAGATGCCTCTCCCCCGTTCGCCGCCAGTGTCGCAGGTCGCCCACGAGCCGCTTCCACTCCGAGGTATTCGTCAGGTTTCGTCGGTGAGCGAGAGAGTGTCGAGGCGCACCACTCAGCACACTGGCTGCCTCTGCCAGAACTCCCGCGCTCATTAGCCCTGGGCACTCCCTGTACTCGCGCAGCATCGCAGTGCTTGAGATTTGGACAGGGCGCGAGGAAGGGCCTCGCCACGGAAGCCGCAGATTCAGCTTCAAGCGTCTCGAGGCGCAGGCAAGAGAAGAATGAAACTGAGTCCCGTCTTCCATTGAGTCTGGGCCACCAGCACCAGTATTCTCAACAGCTTTCAATGCATGCTCAGCCTGATGCCCCCGATTCCTGGCAGCTCAACCGCCCCGGACATTTGACCACCCAGAAATCTCAACTCTCGTTGCGGCACTTGCTTCACGACATATTTTTACGCCCCTTCAGAATCTCAAGGAACAGCCCTCAGCTATCAGTTTCACCACCTTCACACGTCCATTTCTAGCCAAGCATGGCCTGCAAAGCAAGATGGCTGCGGGCTGCCTCGTGCAGAGTGCATACAGTGCGTTCATTGAGGACCCACCACAAAAGTCCAATCCAGTCAGCTCGACCGGCTGCGTGGTGGATAAGAGAAGCTCTCAAGGCCTTGGGTGCTGAAGTCAGACCATTCCACTTCACCGAGCTAAAGAGTGCACTTGTCTGAGGAGGGCACTTAACTTGCCTCTCTTCGCACTCATCTGGCGAAAGTCCTTGCTTCGTTGTTCGCGGACATATGGCAATCCACCGTGCTTCTCAATTGCACCAACAGCCAATGAAGAAAGCTCCTGTCTTTATAACCCCTGCAAGCAACTAAAAGGTCTACTTCTTGCTTGCCTTAGTCGAAGCCTCCAACGCAATTTGGCTTTTCCACTCTGGATTGAGGCGTGTCCTCCCCACTGCCGGAGCGTCGCAGTGACGAGCACTGGCTCTTCTTGGTGTCCACCCTTTCCATGCCATGTAATGAGCGAGCGTCAACTAGCACAGGCAACACGATCTTCGCCAGGACTCTTTTTGTACTTTCTTTTGTGTGCAAGGTCTCAGTACTGGCCATGCCAGGCCTGTAGTCGATCATCGAGCGGCATTACCCATGAAGTGCATGCACTTTGGTAGGAGACGTGCAGGGAACTAGCACCGATTTCGTACTGCAGCCTGCTCGTGTCCTCATTGAGGTCGCTGAGGGCTGCCTGATACTGGGGCAACATTTTCCACCGGCAAAGCACTCACTGCTTTGTTTGAGGCTGCGGGCTGTTGTTGTGACTTTTTCTTATTCAGTAACAGCTCAGTAGAAATCATTTGGTATACCAGGAAGGCTCTGAGGCTTTGAGTGTTATCCCTCAGCTCCGCCTCCACTGCCTTCGGAGGTTCAGTACGCGACCTCCGCGTCTGCGGACGCACTTGTGGCACCTTAACGATGGATCAACCAGAATGCCAAGCAACATGCCAGAAGCTAACTGCTGAGCTCAAGGAGTAGACTTCTGCTGCGTGGATGGGACGATTTTGACTGACTACAGGGAGAGGGCTGTACTTTACCTGCTAGCCCATGTGCATCTTGGCAAGAGTAAGCGGAAGTTTTTTGGCACTGCCTCAACGTTTATGCCCGCAAGCCTTGTTATTGTTGAGAAGACTCTTTGTTTTCGTCCTCACTTTTGCTGGCGCACTCTTGAGAAGGCGGCTTTTCTTTGGCATAGCAGCGCAGAAGAGAACGACCATCGCATCGCGCACCCTTCATGCATCTTGTTGCTGCAGCATCGGCGCCTACACTTCATCATCAACGCACGCGGTCTAAACGACTTAGGAACCTCTGCTATGCATGCATAGGACAATCCAAGACCCGGTCAAACCACGTGCTGGAAGCCAGCCGTCTTCGTACAACCATGCAAGACCGTTTATCTCTGCAAGGCAAGCCTGGGAATGCCCACCAGCTTCCAGCCAAAAGACTGCTTGTGAGACCAAGCAGGCGTTTGGAGTGAAACGATAAGGATGTACTCGCCCAGCATGCTTGCGAAGTAAGGTGTCTAAAAAGCTGACTACTGCGAGCGTAATCCTTACCTCACAGCGAGGAGAAATGGGCCTTCAGCTGCTTGATGAGCTCCTTGCTCTCGATGTGTTCCGGATACGCCTAGGTCAGGAGAGCACGAACACATAAGTCTGAAACGTTCTGAAACTGTGCCGAATGTACCTCCAAGGCTTTGTTCGCCAACTCGAAGCTATCCTGGAACTCACCGAGTTTGAAGGCCTCAGGCAACTCAGGCAACTCAGGCACCTACTTTGACGTAATGGCAGCTATGCATGAGCGCCAGTCGCTGTTGGTGTAAGGTTAGCGCAGGAACTGACGATGCTAAAGCAGGCAAGCAGCCAAAAGCCCCCCGTTGAACGCTGGCTCAAAGAGGTGTGTGGCCAAGCGCATGGCTGTGCCAAAGTGAGCCTAGCGGTTGCACGACAAGGAGTACGCCAAACCGTTCTTCAGTACCTTTTGTACACAGCCGTTGATGCATGATGTTGCTCCTTTCAGCTGTGAGCTTTGTGAATCTCGTGTTTTCACTCACAGCGCCATCAACCTCCGGGTCCTGCCTGTGCTTGCTCGACATTGCCCTGACGGGTGGAAACATTTGCCGTGCGGTCACAACAACAGCACGGGCGCCCAGGTCCCATACACTGACGTGCCTTGCGCAACTCCAGCACACCAATGTTGTTGTAACTCTCGGCATGATTTGGGTCCACGGAGATGGCGATCTTGAAGGCTTGGTAGGCCAGACCTTCACAAAGAGTGCTATGCCTGCTTGCCGAACAACCTAGTGCATCAGCGTTTGTGCTTTTTCCAATGCATCGGGGCCTAGATCTCCGACACCGATAGCCACCTGACCGATGTTGTACCACACGTCCGCCATATTGTCGTCGTCGGCCAACATCAGAGCACGCTCGAAGCAGCTGAGGGTCAAGTCATACTGCCCCGCATAGAAACAGCAGAGGCCCATATTATTCCAAAGCTCCTAGGATCAGGCAGGATCACAAATTACACGTGTTGCCTGTGGGAATCTGCGCCTGCAGTTCAAGAGATGGCAAGGCTCAGCGCTAACCACGCCATTCTGCAGCATTCGGCGGTAGAATCGCAGAGCCAGCTCTGGCTGGTCAGTATAGAAATGGTGCGATGCCAAGCATGCGATGGCTTCCGAATTCACAGCATCATACTGCAATACTTTCCTCAGCTGGAACGCGCCAAATACAACAAATAACAAGTACTCTTGTGCCATTGCTACATCATATGGGTCAGCTGGGCGTCTTGTAGAAGCTGACACCTCGAAGCAGCGCGTTGAGCATGTCGTACGTCCGGGCCAAGCCGATCAAGATGTGGGTTTCCCCCACAAACTTCTCGGCAGCGCGCCCATATTGGTCGAGAGCCGAGTTTGGCTGATCCAAACCTGAGCACAGGAATGATTTTATTGATGGTTCTTGTGCATTTGTGAAGGTCATAATTCATGCACACATGAAAAGTATGAGTTCAGTGCGCATCGAAAGCATGAATTTTAAATTGCGCGACTAGATTGACAAAAACAAGCAATGAGCGTGGATGAGCACCATGATTTGCAATTGCATACTGCTCCTGGTTTCGAGCATGATATCAGAAGAACATGACTTTCTTCAATCATGATGTGTTAGCCTGGGCATGAAGTTGCGGTTTCCGGACACTGCCCAAAAAGGAATCTTGTCTGCTCCTTGAGCCGATGGCTAGCTTGGAAACTGAGCAAGGACTAGCAGGGACAAGAAAAATGTCGCGGCAGGGAAGACACTCAAATCACGACAAGAAATCATTGTTTGAGCAGAATTCCTGATAAGGTTGGTATTTCCAATGGGGTCCTTGTCCCCTAAAAGCCCTTCACATAGGATACCAGGATCCTTGAAGCCCCACCTTGTCGGACAAAACACGCAACATGTTAGCCATCTTGGCGAGCATGGGGTCGTTCTGGTTCTTGTGCACACTATGCTCCCCAGTCTCATCTTGCACACAATAATCTCTAGCCTAGTAGCTAGTAGTTCGAAGGCCAAAAACTCTGCAGAAAAGCTTTCCTTGCAGGCATGTCTTCCAAGGTGCGGAGGTAGACCTTGCAGAGCTCAAGGTGGGTAGTGATCATCTCCTCATCCTTGAGTGCGCTCTTGAACTGTTTCTCGGCGTCCCGGAGGAGACCTGGCAGAGGGTCCTTTAAAACAAACCAAAACACTATAAACAAAACCGAAACACTTTCTGTTTGGGAGTATGCGAGGCTAAGATTGTCCTATCTGCAGCCGCGGGGCCAAGCTGATAGTATGCCTTCCCAAGCCTTGCCTTCCACCACCAGTCCTGCGCTGCATCTTTCCCTTGGTGGCTCTACTCAAAGAGCTACTGGAGCTACTGGAGCTACTGCTGAGTGCATCTGTCCTTGAAATCGACCGCTTGCGTAGCTTCAGATGCCAGTTCCTGGAACGCACTGAGGTTGGCAACGCTTGCAACGATGCGACTGCGACCCTGGAACGAACCAGTATATTCTTTCATCCCGTTGCAGGCCAGTCTCTAGAGCCTTGCGCGGATTGCGAGCGTAGTAGAGCCTTTCCGGTGCTAAAGGTGCTTTTTAGTCGAAGTCGATTTTGCTTAGACTCCTGTTGTAAACTGCTTGGGCCCTGGGCCGCGCTTTTCTCTGCGACAGTAATGCATTTTTCTCTGCTACAGTAATACATTGCCAAGCTGCATATAGTCACACAATGCCTTTGCAATTGCTGGACGCTGCGCATACTTCTGCAAATCCAGCGATTCTAACCGCACGAATTCGCCGCCGTCCTGTGTGGGGAGCAAGAAACTACAAGAACATGAGCGGTTTGCCTGTAGTTGGCTAGCCACGCACAAGTCCTGATTTTGCATCGAAGCCGTGCCCAGCCGTATCAGCCGGCCCATGGACGTCAGAGGCCTGTCAGGATTGACAGACTCAGTCTGCCAGGAAACAGCAATAAGAAATGGTGAAAGCTGCAGCCGGGCCTAGATGTGCCGGGCCGATTCCCCTGCATGGCAGTGGTGACATCTCGTCCCGCTGAGGAAGATGTAGGCCGATTTGTGCCAGGCCGGGCAAAGCCCGTAAGCGGTCGCCCGCTTGCGCTGACTGGACGCACCACCTGTGTGGGGCCTCCCCCACTCTCCTTGAGAAAGGCAAATTCTAGGGAAACAGAGCCGTACACAGCTTCGCACAGCTTCACTTGTCACTTCTGAGCAGTAGGCGGCTCGTGTGAGTGGCCGGTTGAGAGATGTGCCGGGGCGCGGCGCCTCCGCGTTAAACAAGCCCTTTTGCATCACTTCAGGCTGCGGTGGACTTCATTTTCACGATCCTATGGGCCTTTGCTGAAAGGTGTGCCTACTGACATCCTTTTCACTTGCTAGTGGTAGCCTCAGCTCCGAATGCAGTTGCGTTGCTAGGCCCAGCGTTTCGAACTAGTTGCGTGGGTAGGGTGTTTCTTGCAGTCTCTGCTACTTGTACGAGAAAACTGCTTGCGCAGCAGGTGGTACAAAGCTGGCTCGTCTAGCTTGCATCTGAATTCTGAACATACAGCGAAAAGGCTTGCTGTCTGCTTGTTCGGCTAATTTGCTCAAGGCCTGCGCCACAGCATTCTCGTCCAGGAGTAGGTCGGCCACCCCCTCCTCGTCTATCCTCACTTGATTGAGTGGGCCTCCACTCACAATAATCTTGCAAACTTTACAGGACATCTTAAGAACCAGACATGTTCAAGTTGCTCTAGAAACCCTAAACTACTAGACCAGCTTTCTAGCAAAGCTATACCTACTGGCAAGCAGCGGCCATTTGAGGCGCACCATCTTGAGAACATCTTGGAGAGAGCAGTGCTCCATGGGCCCATGGGTAGTTTCAGCATGTCAGCAGGCAGAATCTCAGAAGCGAGAGCAGCAACATGTAGCAGCAGCAGCACATGAAAAGAAAAACCGAGAACCAGAAGCAGGGAGGCGGTTGACTTGCTGCTTGGGGGTTTGCACTGGCGTCCTGTTCGCATACCGTGGAATCAGCTGAGAGTACTTAAAGCGGTCAGCTGCCATGTTTTTGCACTTCTGTTAGTTGGGTTCCCGTTGTGTGAGGTTCTATTGCACACTCAGGTGTATCCTTGGCGATTCCGCAAAAGTGTGTCTGAAGCTTTCACACGCAGGGACATTAGAACAAATACCCCAAACTCCGACATCAACAGAAGTATGCATCGTGGCCGCGCGGTGAAAGCAGCAGCAGCCACAGTAGTAAACCCAGTAAACGTATCAGTACCCTGAAAACCAACCATTGAACGAGAAGCCGTGGGAACACAGTGTCGCCCCTGGCAAACAACATGAGTAACAACCCTCAAAAGAATTGCAAACGTCCGGCTGCAATGTTCGGCAAGCGAATGCTGAACAACGTGTGTTCGCGGCATGCGCGCACTTGCAGGCATACGCAAAATCAAGGTCCTACCCGCAAAAAAGAAATGCAAGGGATGCTGGCCAACACCCCACCCTTTCCTGCATTACAAGCTCTCCTACCTCTGCCAGGGTGCTCCACGTCATCGATCCACTGTTTGGATGTCAGTGCTCTGCACTTCAGGAACCAAGCTGCCTGGTCCCTGGGGTTCCTCGGCCCAGGTGGAAGTGTTCAAGCAAGTGAATCTTGGCTCCAGGCAGCAAGGAGAGGCCCTACACCACTTGGGCAAGGAGCTGCTCTAGAAGCTCTGTGCAAATATCGATGCACTCGTCCCATCTTCTCTGCCGGAAGCGGCTGACAGCTCTAAAGAATGGGTTCAAGGATGTGCCTGCCAGGGCATCACGCCGCCAACATGAAACCAACAAAAGACGGACAAAACAAAGAGCAGCCATGATCCCAAAGATAAACCGCGGAGTTACTGCAACCTGAAGGGCTCCCAACACGCGTCTCCGATAAGCAGTCACAAATTTATTATGAAACAAAATTGCAGCTTCAAAATTGCAGCTTCTGAGATTCGTGTTCAGCCTGTGCATGCACATAGAGATGCCCAGGAAGCAAGAGCCGTGCCTGGATCTCTACTCGATGAAGCCATGGAGGCAGGGCGGCCCACTTTGAGGCCCGAGCCCAGGATACGGCTGCAAGCCACAGGGCAGCAAATTCTCTGATAAGAACACCGATTGAATTGCTTGATGTGCCAGCCCAATCCTCTGAATCAGGTGTCTTTCTACGGGACCCAAATTAAGGGCACCAGTTTTGGTTGGAGACCTCAACGCAGGAGACCAGTCCCCAAGCGTCCAGGCAGCCGCAGCTAAACACGTGGAGACACTTCTGAGCAAGCAGCCACCAATGCGGTGCATAGCAGCGTCAGAACAGTGAAATCTCATTACTGTAGACCCTTTCGTCCAGAGCCTAATCTACCAACCTTCCGTCACCAAAAAGACACTACCCCAGACACGCGCACTTTTGGAACACCTTCCTGGGCCACAGGCAGCGCTGAGTAGCTGCTGGGCCACACGCTGGATCTGGTCCTGTCCGCAAGGCTTTGGTGCTTACGCGTCCTTGCATTTGGGAGCAGGAAAGGAGCCCTACTTTTCTGTGTCTTATCACAAAAGGTTGCCATGGCTGGCTCGTGACTTTGATCAGCCTCAACACGTCAGGATCATGGCACATCTCAGAATACATTCAAGTGCTACCACC